CTGCTCGGAGAGGAGTGAGCTGGTCACTTGGGGTTTTCTCAGGAGCCAGAGTCTCTGTGTCGGGGTTTAGCTGAGGTTGTCATTCCCAGCTGTAGAGACAGGGCAGCTCCCGCGAGACATGCCAGCACCCCAGTACACTGCCTGTTCCCCAGTACCACCGCTGGGCTCTCTGGAATGTTTGCGGGACAATTCCCTGGGCCGGCAGGGATTCAGGACACTGAGTGGGCATGGCTGAGACCATCGCTGGCCCACGTGCAGGCGGGTGAGGTGCCCCCAGCACAGGGGGACAGGGTGTGATTCAGGCAGGGAGGAGAGACTAGGGCTCAGCATATGGCTAAGAGCCCCCAAACCAGCTGCCTTTGTTCTGTTTGTCGTGCTGTATCTGTGCTCTCGGTGCCGGGAGGGTTTGGAACAGGTACCCAGTGCTGACTGTGATCGAGCTGGTGGGGGATCCCCAGACAGCCCCCAGTTTGTTCTTGGGAACACGTCCATCTGCATTAACCAGCGGGAGACACTAGCTGTGCAGGAAACCCTCCCGCACAAGGTGCCAGCATCGCTGTTCCAGCCCCTTCACACCCCTGTGAGCAGCATTCCCCACTGCGACATTGTGCTGCCAGCTCACGTGTTGTCGTTTTGTGTCCTTCCCTTCCATCCAGGGCCCGCAGGGCTTTAGAGGGCCTCCCGGCCCAGCTGTAAGTAACCCTTCGTGGTAGGCCTTGGTTCTGGGCCCTGGCTGAGGTTGGCTTCCCCAGCTCTCTATCTATCCTGTGCAGCAGCTCTGTCTTGGCATCATATTGTATAGGAGGCCAGGCCTGAACTGGGGCTGCTTCAGGGGCTGCTGTGGTTTCGCTAATTCTCCGGCTTTGAATTGCCTCTTTGCAGGGTATGCCAGGCTTTCCCGGAGTTCTAGGCCGACCGGTAGGTGATTGCCTTCCCCTCCTGTCTTGCGCCCTTTCTGCATGTAGCAAGTACATCCTTCTCCTGCAGAGTCTGGGGCGTTTCTGCTTTCAGGAGCAGTCTACATTGTAAACTTTTCACAGGGAGGCAGAGATCATGCATCTGGAGGTTAGAGCAGGGACCGGGATTCCAGAGATATGTGTTCTAGTCCTGGTTCTGACTCACAACTTTGGACAAGTCACTTACTCTCTCCTGGCCCTCAGTTTCCCCATCTGTAAAATGGGGCTAGTGACTCTGAAGCTCCTCACAGGTGTAAAGAGCTCAGGGATCCTTGGATAATGGTGCTAGAGCAAGGCCCACAATGACTGACTGTAGCGCACAGCTGGTTAAGAAGTGCTGACAGCACATAAAGTGAGTGGATTAAAATCCTGTCTGTCTGTGCCTGGCCCCTGTTGTAAATCCCGTAAAGCAGGCTGGGTTTGCACTGCTGCCCCTATTGTCCCAGACACAGTGTGACATGCACAACAGCGTGTGGAGAGTATGGGTGCAACCCTGTCGCCCATTGAGTGCGACTTCCCTCCCTCTGCAGGGCCGTGAGAGGGGGCTATGGTATGGTGGCAGGGACACTTCACATGAGGAGAACTCAGAGTCCAGAGCTCAGCCTTTTTTCAAGAATATTGATCCAACCAAAACTCAGTTAAACCCAAAAGCCAGTCGGCCCATCTGACCTCTGCGGTGGCAAGAGGTGATCAGTCTCCCAGAGTCCCCATCCAGCACTGACAACCTCTCTCCTGTCCTGCAGGGCAACCAGGGAGATCCAGGGCCACCAGGCTCAGCTGTAAGTAACACCAGCCTCCTGTACCTTCTGTTGTCCATGGCTGTGCGTGTATCAGAGCCACATCTCCGGTGGCATGGGGGAATCTGCTACTGCCTGAACCTCAACATTCACAGTAGTGTCCAGATGGTTCCTGGAGGCTGAAACCTGCTGGCATGAGATGTCAGCCCAGCACAGAGCTTATGCTGGGAAAGGGGAACAGAAAATGACATCCATTGGAGCTGCCAGAGGCACACAAAGCATTTCCGTTCAGCATTCACCTCCCTGCCAGCCCTCCCCATGGGGCCTGCAAGAGATGATGTCCTGCAGAGCTGGAGGCACAGCCCCCTGTGTTATTAGCAGGGCCAGGGCGATGCGGATCCCTGAGCCCAGGATGTTAAACGGGGCTTTTGTGGGTGCGGCAGATTCCAAGGCAGTGAACCAAACAGGAAGCACGTCAGCGCTGTCCATGCTGTGCTCCAGAACCGGCTCAGTTGCACTGCTGGGCTCTAGCTGTACCCGGGGATAACCATCTCCTCTTTCCTTGCAGGGGCTTGTTGGACCGCCAGGCGCTCAGGGCCCACCTGGAATAAAGGTGCGTCCCAGACAGCAGCTTCTTCCAACCTGCTGGAGGCTGGAACCTCTGGCCAGAGGAAGCTGGAGTCCTACTGCCTTTGCTGGGCTTAGGGACTCCAGGAGGCTGCGTTAGCTGGAGGAAGCACTGCAGATCAATGAATCGATATGGAACCCACAGGCATGGCTCATGCATCCACTGGGGGAGCACCAGGCTCCAGGCAGAGCCGCATGTGGGCTGAGAGAGGGCCATGCATGAGGCTTGGGTGATAGGCACATCCCTGAGCAAGCCAGAGGATGTGGAGCTGCAGAGCATGCAGAACCCTCTGCTGGCTGGAGGGCTTTGCTGCCCCGCTTAGACCCGGGATTGCAAGGGTCCGATTCCAGGTCAAGTACTGCACACCTATGGGTTACACTGTCCCCTGGCCACTGTGGTCCCAGTGTGCGTGAGATGCAGGCTGTGTCCTTAAAAGGTGCCACCTGTTTGGAAGGCCCACATGGCGTTGTCCCATACTATGGAAAGAGTGAGGGGGCGGCTTGCTGGGAGACTGGCTGGAGCCTTTGGGCACCCCATAGCACAGGGGACATGGGGAAGGGGTGACAGCAGGGGAGGCTCCACTTCTCCAGCCAAGTAGGTGAGGGGAGCGTGAGTCACAGTAATGGACCAAATTCACCCCGGGACACGTCCCTGGAGTCAGCGCAGTGAGCCCAGGGCTGAGTGTAGGAAAGGAATGGCAAGAACAAAGTCCATGGAGGGGAAAGAGCAGCAACCCAGGGAGACACTGAGTGTGTCTTTGCAGAGAGCACCCTGGGGGGTACCTGTCCCCATCCGTGGGTGGACGTCTACCCTGCTCTGCCTCACTTAACCACACGCCAGTGCACACTCAGGACCCAGGCTGGTCCTCCTCTGCCAAGCATCCTCAGGCTGCGTTAGCTGTAGGAGGCCTGACGAGCTCCTACCATTGTGGTCTCTGCTTTGGTTAGTTTCCTGGAAATGTTGTTCCAGTGAGCGAGCTGCTGAGTGGGATGAGTCGGGGAGCACTCACTGTAGTAACAGACCCCGTGTGGAGCTGGCGGTGTCAGAGCCCCGAGTGTGAAGCTCTGGCATCTCCTGGGAACTTGGGTCAGCTCAGTTCCCAGTTGCAGCTGGAATCTCCCTTGTGTGGCTGCTGGATCCCTCCTGCAGGTCTGAACAGCTGGAGCTCCCAGGGCTGAAACAGGAATTGGAGAGAGAACAGCACAAATACCACGTTGAACTCTCTCGTACACAGCTCCCAAATCCACCCCTCCTTCCTCCGTAGCCAGGCAGCCAGAACTTTAGGAGAGAACACCGAGCTGCAAAGGGTTAACGGAACAGGCCTGAGCCAGATCTGGTTGGCATTCCTTGGTCTGTCACCAGACCTGTGCCCTGGCACCTGTCTGGCAGGAACAATCCCCGGCACACAATCTCGAAAGGCCCATGAGTATTTGCTGTGGTCAGTCGCTGTAGAAGCTGGTATTGGAGGTCCTGTCTCTGCTGAAGTCTTGTGTAGGCTCCTGAGCTGCCAAGGGCTGGCGTGGCCATCTGAGCGGGGGGTCTGGTTCCTGATGATGTCTGGAGAGGCTGGCTTGAGGCCTCATGGACACCAGCAGCTGGATCTGGGATTGTTGTACCTGCCGTGTGGGGGTTTGTAACAGACTCTCTTATTGCAGGGAGATTCGGGTGAGCCTGGCTCCAGCATTCGGGTGAGTAGCTCTGCCATACCCTGCCATCTGTGCCCGGTGCCTACTCAGGCTGGCTCTGGCCTGAACTTAGGCACTTGCGGGACCTTACCCAGTGGGTACACACCTGCCCTAAAGGGGGTGCTGGGCCCTTTCCTTCGGGGACAGCTGGTGTGTCCTGATTCCGTGACTCTGCCTGGGGGGAGATGCTGTCAGTGTGGGACCCACTATCCTAGGGAGAGGCTTCTCCTGCTCTCTAACACATGCCTCTTTGTTCTATTGCAGGGCTTGCCCGGGCCCCAGGGGAGCGTCGGCCTCCCAGGCCCCTCAGGCCCCTCCGGCCTTGTGGTAAGTAGTTGGTGTGATTTTTCTCTCATCTGGGTCCATCAAGGAGTGGAGTCTGAATGGTCTCTGTGCTGCTGCCCAGGGTGGAAGATTAGCAGTTCCTCCTTCATTGCCTTTGATTCCTGACTGTGTTTGTTTTCCATCAGGGACCGCAGGGCGCCCCAGGATTGCCAGGACCAGTGGTGAGCATTGCTTGTGCACAGTGACCGATAGCCCCCTTGCTGCTATGGGGGGTATGAATTGCCAAATTCCCAACTGGCCTGGCTTTGCTGATGGCCCTTCCAATGTCCTGCCACTGGCCTTTCTTCTCTTGGCAACCTTTGCCTTTGTGTACGCGTCCATTTGGCAAAGCTGGGCCTTCCTTGGCTGAGAGAGCAGGATCCAGGTGGCCCATTGCGCAGCTGATGCTCTTGTTTCCCTTCTCCGAGGCCTGGAAGTGGCGGGAGGCGTCCGATGGAGATGCTAGCTGTGGAGAGGATTGTCAGCAGTGCTGTCTACTTCTCCCTCCCCCTGATAATTCCAGCTGTTCCATTCCCGTTTTCTAGGGCGAGACTGGAAAGCCTGGAGTGCCGGGGAGAGATGGAGTGCCGGGGAAGGAGGGAGAAGCAGGGCTGCCTGGGAAAATGGTATGTCCCACACAGGTGCTGGCAGGGCATGTGCCTCTGCTACAGTGAGCTCCAGTGGGAAGGGGAATGGCAGCATTCTCCAGATACTCGGGTGACGGAGGAGTTAGAAATGCCACAGTCCTGCTGCACTGAGCCTCTCCGGCCTTCCCTCCCATTGTGTGTCTGGCACTGGAGACCATGTGGGTCAGGAGTTGTTCTACGTCTGTCTGTCTGCAGCTGGCTGCCCCAGTGACTCTAGCCCAGTTTGGATGACACGGGAGGTCTCATCAAACCACAAATTCCAGGGGATGTGGCACCGCTAATCGGCACGGAAAGCTTGGCTTTGAATTCAGCCTGGTTTAGATTTTCCATGGCAGCGTGGTGTGTGGAAGAGTACATTGAATTCAACCACTGGGAGTGTGGTATGCAAGAGAGCTAAGTCAGCAGCCGTGTATGATTGGCCAGGTTACCTCCGTGGTGGCCCCACCTCCTGAGAGGGAGCTGGTAGTGGCAGAACAGCCAAGGGTGCCTGGATGGGAGCATGGAGTTGGGGCACAGCAGCACCCATCATGCCCATCTCAGGCCAAGGCTAACAGTTGTGTTGATTGCATGACAGGGTGTGCCAGGACCCACAGGCCCTGCCGGACCTAAAGGAGCGCCAGGGGACGCTGGGCTCCCAGGACAGGTGTGTATGACGTTCTCCTATCTCGCTTGGCTCATTTTCTGAGCCAACTGTGGTAGGTTACTAGCTCCCTTCAGTGGATTTTCCTTCTGAAGATGGGAGTAACTCATCCAAAGCCCAGCCCTGCTGGGTGGGGTGGGCTGAGCTGGCCCCTCTCCTGGGCTGTGGAGTGAGTGTCTCCCTCATGGCCCCTGCCTCTGGGTAATAACTCTCTCTCCCTGCCACCTGGGCCCAGCTCTGATGGAGGCGGGACCCTTCAGACTGCACTGTAAGGTTGCTCTCCTCCCATCTCAGGGTGTGTGGGGTGACCTAGGATTGACCTGTGTGGGTTGGAGGGGGGTCATTACATCCCCTCCCCACCACCAGCCCAACATTCCCTGCTGCAGGAATTCTGAATGCGGGTCCCATACGGGGATGGTGTCGGGGCCTTTAATCACTTTATAGTTCGCCCAGTGAGGAAATGATGACAGTAGCCGGGGTTCAGCTGGGCTGGACAGCCCTTCCACATGGGGGTAGGGAGTTAGTATCCCCCTGCCTAAGCCATGGACCAAGCAACGGTGCTTAGCATTGTGCTCTCTTGCTGTCCTCCTTTGTGTGATTCACTCACTTCCTACCCCGGCCCTTGAAGTGAGAAACCTCCCCCCGTCCCTTGTGTCACTCATCTGTTAAATGTCCATATTTCCCCCTGCCTGTCTCTAGACGATTGTCGGTCCTCCTGGGATGAAAGGCGAGAAGGTAAGAGGCTTGGGGGTTAGCTCAGAAATCTGCACAGAAAGCTTCAGAGGGGGAGTGTGGGGACTGGGAGCCAGGACTCCTGGGTTCTTTTTCCAACTCTGGCCCAGAAATTGTATTAATAATAATGTTGTTAGAGCCCGGTAAAAAACAGAGAGGGAGAGGGTGGTGCTGGAACAGCCTGGAGTGAGTGACCAGCCCTTTGGTGCGGGGCTTTCTCAGTGCCACGCTGCCCATGTGCCTATGTCCGTTCTGATGTCATGAGCTGCATCTGCTCTGGCTTGCCCACTGCCAGCTTCCCCGGTGTCTCTTCAGCCACTCCAGCGTCTGAGCAGGAGCCCAGGGGTCCCAGGCTGCACCAGGAGTGATGGTTTGTGGTGACCAGGATCAGTGGAAGAAGGTAGCCCAGATGTCAGCTCAGGGTGGGGAGGGGGTGGGGAGGCCTGGTGCTCGCTTTGTGGGGATGCAGGGGGCACAGGAGGGATGCCTGACGTGCTGAGCCTTTGTGTGTTGCTGTCTAGGGCGAATCCGGAGGGATTGAAGGGAGCCTGCTGGGTGAACCGGTAAATTGGCCTTTCATGTCCCTTCCCACTGTTGTATCTCAAACTCTGTGCCCAAAGCCAAGCACTAACTCTGCTCTCTACCTGCAGGGTGCCAAGGGCGAGCGAGGCTTACCGGGCCCCAGGGGAGAGAAGGTGAGGAACTTCCCCACACCCCATTTCAGGGAGGGGCTTCCACTCTCTGCTCTTAGTCACCTCCCTGTGATGGCTCATGGTGCCTTTGTGACCTGACCCATTTCACTCCCCATTGGTGAGTCTCACTCTCTTTCTTCCTGCCAGGGGGATCCTGGAAGACAGGGGGAACCCGGAGACCCTGGGGAAGATGTAAGTACCACATAGATGGGGTGCTGGGAATGGCTGGGATCCCCACTGTAGGAATGCTGAGTCCAGACCCAGTGTTAGAGGCTGGGGGAGGCTCTCCCCTGCCCACCTGCTCAACCCCCCATTCAGGTTCTTGTCCTGGGCCCAGCGCTGGAGTATGTGAGTGGTTTTGATTTGTTTCATTGCCCCACCTGAATGGGAAGCCCTGGCCTTTGCCATAGTAAACATCTGAGCACGGGTAGCTCCAGCGTGTCTGAGATCTGGCTCCAGGGGGAAGGCTACCTTGGTGCGTTGTAATCTAGTTCTGAAAAATGGTATACGGCACGTGTGCATGCCCTCAAATGTGTATGTGTGCAGTGAGTGTGCACAGCATGGTTTGTCCTCATTGTTTCCTGTGCTTGTATTTTAACAGGGAGCCAAAGGATCCCCTGGAGTCAAAGGGGAAAAGGTACGTAGCAGCCCCGGTACTTGGGCTCCAGTGTACTGAGCCTAGAACCTCACCGGCACGGCCTGTCAGTCACAGAACAGGATGCATTTAGCAACACTTGGTGGCTCAAACACCCACCTGTCACTTGTTACCTTCCATATTGCACTCGGGCTCATGTCCCTGAGGTGTCTCGCTTGCAGTTTGATTGTCATGTGCTGCTGGCTGAGGAGCAGGGAGGATTGTGGCAGCAGTGAGAAGGGAAGGTCTCTGAGTCAGCATGAGACAGAGAGAGCCCTTGGAAGCCGGAGCAGCCGCCAGCTGTGTGTTCAGGGTTACTGGGACAAGCTGGCCTGCTCTGATTGGTGTTTGGCTGGGTGAAAGGCTGATGTGAATGGGCTAATCAGGGCCCTTCTTGCATTGTTTAACGGTGACTGGGGTGTTCATGGCTGTGGAAATGGCTGTCACAGTGTCTGTGCCTCATTCCTGTCCTGGTGGGACCCCCCCTGGGGCTAAGAGGGGAGTTTATTCTCCAGGGACCACAAGCAGGGCCAGCTGAATGCACCCTGTTCTGTGACTGACAGGGCATGCTGGTGAGGTTCTTGTGATGTGGCCGCTTTCCCACTAGAGACTGACTGAGGCCTGCTAGTGAACAGCCATAGATTGCAACCATGCTCAGTCACCAGCTGGGGCATAGCTTACTGGAGACAGGTCTGTCCCATTCCCATCCACTCCTAACCCCTGTATATCCCTATGTATCCAGGCCTCTGCCCCTCCATGTGGCGTGACTTACCATTTCTATTCCATCTGCACCATTCAGGGTTCGGTTGGCATTGGCCTGCAGGGACCCCCTGGACAAGATGGGCCTCAAGGTTTGAAGGTAACGTCTCCTAAGACTTTGTTAGCACAGAGAACCTCTCCTTAGTCATACGGGGAGTCTGGGAATCAGAACTCCTGGGTTCTCTTCCCGCCTCTGCCTCTGGCTTGCTGAGTGACTTGGGCCAAGCCTCTTCCCTGGCTCTGTGCTTGTCTCCCTGTTTGTATAATGGGTTAATGACACTTGGCCTCTGTTGTTAAACACCTGCTTGGAAGGTGCATATTATTATTATTGTTATCAACTTAAAACATGGAGTGAAACGCCACATGCTGGCCTTGGCACTGCTCCCTGTTCAGCGTTGCTGTCTCTTGCTGTACGGGACCTGCCCAGCCCGCAGACTTACTGCCAAGCCAGGAAATACTGTGAATTTTTACAACACGAGCAAGATGCCCATAATCTCCCCCTTCATGGGAAATTGGTTATTTGGTAGATTCTCGAGGCCCTTTGAGTGAGTCACAGGACAGCTCTAGATGGGGAGGTGGCAGGAGCCACTCTAGAAGCAGGACAGAAAGGGCTGGATGCCCCCCCCCTCCACACCCTGCCTACCCTGCCCCTCACAGCTTCCAGGCTGAGAGAGACTGGTGCTTACAGAGCTCATGTGGCATCAGCACCACTGGTGCTGGACAGCTCCTGCTGGAGGCCCTGAAGAGCTGGGACACTCTACTCCTGGTTCCAAACCAATCCCCCAGCAGAGATCTTCAGCGCCCAGTTACCAATGAAAATTACCCCCCTCTCCCTCCGCCATGCACACCCAGGGAAAGCTACCTACTCCAGTGTTACCGCAGAGCGGGCAAGTGCTGGGATCAGGATATCTCCACTCCAATGCCAGCCATCCTCCATATACAGGCCTGACCCCCTCTCTTCTGTGCTGCCTACTTGTACAGGCCTGAGATCCTTTGCCCTGCTTCTGCCCACCCTCAGCATGTGGGTGTTTGGCTGAGCTCACCTCCATTTCACTCCTCCCCCCGGGGCTGAGTGCTCTGCCCTGCTGGAGTACAGCATTTCCCTCCAGACTGACATTGAAGTCCCCTGAGGAGTGTGCAGCGCCACCCCACTGCTCCTCTGTCAGCAGTCTGGTATCAGGGGAGTCCTTCCCCAGCAGCGGGCTCAGCAGCACTGGCTCCTTCTGTCTCCCCTCCAGGGTGACACTGGCTTACCTGGCCCACCAGGATCCCCGGGCTTGCCAGGCATCGCAGGGACCCCCGGCCAGCCAGGTCTGAGGGCAGAAAATGGACAGCCAGGCCCACCAGGACCTCCAGGAGAGAGGGTAAGAGGTGCAGTTACCATCTGGCCCTGAGCTCTGGCCCATCTCACCCCTGCTAAAGCACAGCCACTTGGACCACACGCCCCAACCGCACATACTGCTCAGCACCAAGGGCCAGTTCAGCAGCACGACTGCCCAGCTCCCCCAGCTTCTGCCCTGGGCCTGGCTCTGGAGGTGCATGCAGGGGAGCCAGATTACAAAGGGAGGCCACTGGGTCCATGAGACGTTCCAGAGCCCTGAGGCTGCCTGTCCATGGACTCCTTGGTGCCGGCAGGCAGGGCCTCCTGCTGTGGGAGTGCAAGGGGTCGATGAAAGAAGCAAGGGAAAAGACCATGAAGGACCTTCCGGCCGCCCCCAGACGAGACTTTTCCCTGCAGCGCTTTCTCCAACCCAATGTGAAGTGTGCTCCAGCAAAGCAGCTTCCATCAGCTCCCTCCTGCGACGTGCAGAGAGTCTGCAGCGCCCCCTCAAAGGGTTAAACGTCCTTTCTCCACTCACTCCTCCCTGGTCGTGTGGTAGTGCCTGCCCGCACTGAACAGGGCTCTCCTTCCTGGCAGGACCCAGGAGTTCACCCCTAGCTGCACAGTCCCCCTCCCACGAGAACACTTGCACTTGCCTCCGCCTGGTGCCCTGAGTGTGAGCTCTGCCATGGGGGAGCTCGGTGAAGAGAGATGCCCCAGGGCCATGGGGCTTGGCCTCTGCCCTGGAGAGGCCTTCACTGTGCTCCCCTTACAGCGAAGGCCATTCCTGGGCCCTCACTAGCTGTGAAGTGGGACCTCACCGTGGCCAAGGCTTCTCTTGATTGATGTATTTTTCCTGCTAGGGTTTGATTGGCTTCCCTGGAAGAGACGGCACCTCTGGCTCACCAGGGCCGCCGGGGCCCCCAGGGCCAGCGGTGAGTGTTGGGCATCTGGGGCCAAGAGTGCTGGGTGTGTAGCCAGGAGGAGGAAGATGGTTTCAAGGGGGTGCAGCTATTGCTCCCCCTAACTCAGCCTCTCCCTGTGTCTCTCAGTAGGTGCCCTGCACAGCCTCGGGGAGGGAGAACTGGGCAGGGTGCTGGAAAGAGCCTGCTGCCCTGACAAGAGAAGTCAAACTGCCAAGCTCTCTGGGGAGCAAACGAACAGTGCAGGGGGTGACAGGCAGCTGCCCTGGGCCAGGAAAGAGGCCATTAAAACCCAAGTCAACGCCACTTTGCACAGCTCCAAAGGGAGGGATTTCAAAGGTCAAGTGCCCAAAAGCAGGCGGGCTGGGTGTCTAACGCACTTGGGCCATTGCCACAGCAGGGGCACGTTGTCTGCTTGCACACACAGCTGTGACTCTTGCTCATCACTGGCACACACAGTCCCAAGGATTGTGTGAGATCTTCCAGCCCCCACCCCCAAGCATGGGGTTCACCTTTGGGTGACAGAAAAATCTCTTGCTTATGCCAGTGCAGGCACCCTTAGAGGTTTCCCTGTGGACTGGAGCCAGAGCAGCTTTGCATCCAGATTCAGAGCTGGGTGAGAGGCTTACATGAGTATCATTGAACTACTCCCTTGAGTGGGTTGGGGTCGGGGAGGGATGGCTGGACAGATGAATATCTGCATTTCTTCAACTAAAACTCCCTCCGCCTGCTTGTTCGCTTGTGTTACCCCCCTGTTGCCACTAGTGCTGCCCAAGGCCAGACAAATGAAAGGGAAGCGAGGTGAGTAGTACGAGTGACATGGCCGAGGTCTGACCCCTCTCCCTGGTGTAATTGTGGTTGGCACCTGGACCAGGGCAGCACTGATCTCTGTATCCTGTGATATAGTAAACCCCCGGGGATCGCTTCAGAGGCCCCCAGGCTGGGCCTGGTACACTGATCTGTCTCTCTGGTTTCAGGGGGCACAAGGCGTCCCAGGACTGAAGGGTGACAAGGTAGGCTCTGGTTTCACCCTTTTTGCACCAGCCTCCTGCGGCTCCTGGAGTGGGGGAGAAGAGCATGTATTCTCCAAGGGCCCCAGCTAGAGTGTTTTTTTTCTTTTTTCTTGCTTGGTGGATGTTCCGTGTTGCCTTCGAATAACACCTGTCTCCTTTGGGGGATGGGTCACCGGAGGAACCCAGACTTTTCTCTCCCAGTGTGGCTTCGGGGCTAGTGATGTTGATAGACAGAGGTACAGGGACATCTCAGAGCTACCTACAGGTGGAGCCCTTGGGGTCAAGTGCATCTCTGACCCATTTGCAAAGGCCGCTCTTTTCCCTTCCTCTTGCCTCTGGTGCAGTCGCTTGTCTCTGAAGAAGCCTGTTGTGGGGAGTGACCGTGGAGCCAGGCCCCATAGGTTGATTCTGGGGCTGGCAATGCTGTTACAGTACAGGTACCGAGGAGCAAGTGAGCTCCTGCCCTGTTCGAGGGCATGTGCAAGCAGAGCCAGGCAGCCAACAGACAGCAGCACCCCTGGGGTGCAGGTGACATGAGGATCCTGCCCCCTACATGGAAACCTCTGAGCACCAAGGGAGCAGCGAGGAGAGGCCATGGCTTTCCGGCTTTGCCACCTGTCTAGTTGTCAAGCCATGCAATCTCATGTATGTGCAGGGTAGGGTTGCCAGTTTGGGTTGGATGTATTCCTGGAGGTTTTATCACATGACATAATCTTTAATTAAAGATTAATCTTTATTTCCTGGAGACTCCCGGCCAATCCTGGAGGGTTGGCAACCCTAGTGCAGGGCAGTGTCCCATGGAGCATGATGCTAGAGATTCCCAGAGCTGGGACAAAGTGAGCAGCAGAGGGCGTGGAAAGGGGCAGCCAGTGGCTGGATCCAGCAGGGCCCGGGTAGTGCCCGACTCAGGCAGCTTGGGCAAGATGTGCAGGATTGCCGTTTACCTCGGTTCATTCAGAGAATGCTGCCATTAGCTACAGGGTCACTAACACTCTCTGTCTCTCTGCCCTGTAGGGGAACGTGGGGGTTGGACAGCCGGGCCCTAGAGGCGAGCGAGGAGACCCAGGGTCACGGGTACGTATCTCCCCTATTGCCTCCCCCAGCTGTGAGTGCAGACCCTGCTAACCCACCCCTCTCCCCAGTACAGCACATCGATCCCGCTGGGCCAGAAAGGCTTTCCAGCCTGCAGTACAGCGTTGGGGAGCATGGCATGTGCCCCTCTGCGGCACTGGGGACTCTACCAGGCCTTGTGGCTTTGGGATACTGGCACGGCTCTGCATGGGCAGGGGGTATGTGGAGCAGTCTTGGAGATTAGAGATGGAGAAGACACATTCGGACCTTTCGAGCCCATCTCCCTGAGGAGAGCCCCTCCTTGGCACACACCCTGGCTGGGGCTGAGGAAAGCCCACAAGTGGGTACCCTGGAGGCATTGCGTGCCCAGGACCCTCCCCAAGGCCAACGTCACTGCCCAGGGGCTTTGCCTCTCACCCCCCTCACCATGGATCAGGATGGCAGGATATGGAATTGACCCACGGTGCCCTCGGGGCCCAGCTGTCCTGTCCCCGGCCCTGTGCTCTGTCTCACTGTCCTTTTCCTCCTCGGCAGGGTGAAGACGGGCGCCCAGGGCTGGAGGGAGATCGTGGGCCTGCGGTAAATACCTTCCCCCTCCCCTTGCCTTGCCCTTTAACCAGGGGTTGGGATTGGCTCCCGCTCGCCAGTGACTCCCCTTCTCTTTTCCCTTTAGGGGCCTCCCGGAAACCGAGGGGAGCGTGGCGACAAAGTAAGCAACCTACTGGTGGGGGGGGGCGGGGGAGGGGAGTCTTCTCCCACCTCCCCCTCCATCAGGCCGCTATTGAAGTACAAGTACCTGCCCATGGGGTACAATCCCACTCTGATGGGGTGGGGTCAGGGTATTGCCCAGAGCTGTCCCTGAATTTCACCCCCCAGCCTGCTTGGGCTGCTGCCTGACCAGGGCTGTCTCCTCTCCAGGGGAGCTCATGGCTTGTTCTCCCTCTTGCTCTCATTTCTCCCAGTTCTAATAAAGTCAGGTGTGAACCCGTTTCCCTCTGATCCTGCGCCCCCCACTCATCCCTCTCAGGACCCCATGAACTTCCCTAGGTTTGGGGTCCCCTAGGCTCTTGGGGCTCCTTCCAATCACTCTCCTCCCCTCTGAGTGTCACGGTTCTGGCTGGTCTCTTTGCTGCTCTGAGGGAGGCCCTCGGGTTTGGTAGTGGCCTGACGGGCTGTAGTGGGAATGGGGCCTGACAGTCGTGAGACCCACGTGCTTCTGTGCGAGGCATGTTTCTCACCCACGCTCTCTTCCCTTCTAGGGAGACTTTGGAGCTATGGGGCCCAAAGGAGACAAGGTGAGTTCCCTATTTACCCGCTGCTAGGGGCTCATTGGCTGACCACGAGCCCCAACTGCCACACCAGAAAGGCCTATTTGCCTTCAGACCTGGGAGTGTCTGGGCCACAGTCCCCAAAGGAAGGTGGGAGAGTAATTCTGCACTGGCACAGAGCGTTTCCATCTGCCACCTGCACACCAGGCGCTTGTGCCCAATTGCAAGCTCACCAAATGCTGCCACAGCACGTCCACCCCACGTGAACCTTTCCAGTGCTAGTGGCCAGCTTTGGCTATGCCCCGACTGGACACTCCTCAGCCCTGGGGCTGCTCCAGTAACTTCTGCCTGTGTCCCTGGGTGGCAGCCCCCAGGGTTCTTGCCACTGGGCTGTATAATCCTTGGACCTGCCCTTGCTGCGGTGAGACCCCCGGCGGGGTGGGAAGCTGGACTCTTGACTGGCTTGATGGCCAGCAGATGGTCCTTGGGCACATGACCCTGTTTAAACCCATAGGATTGCAAACTGAAGCATGGGTCAGTGGTTTATTTTGAGCTCTCATTGGCTGCTGTGTGTTTTTTTCCCCCGTGTGCAGGGTGATACCGTCATTGTGGAGGGGCCGGCTGGAGTCCGGGGGAGCAAGGGGGAGCCGGTAAGAGCCCTACCCCATAGAGCAGAGGTTTCAAACTGTTGGGTGCACCCCTAGGGGGGTGTGGAGGAACGTTTGGGAGGGTGAGCATCGACACCAGGCCAGCCCTGCACAGTGGGGCTCAAGCCAGCCCCACACCATCTCCACCCCCTGACTCACCTCAGCGGGTCACCCAGCCTGCAGGTCAGTGTCAACATCCACTGTGGCTGCGCTGATTTCTGCTCCAAGCAGCCTCTGCGCCCAGTGCTGGCTCCGCCCCCAGAGACCATCACGCGCGCCTTCCCCCACCCTGAAAACCCTAGTGGGGAGGGGCATATATTGTGTCTATTTTTGTCTGGGTTGGCAACCAAAAATTATAACTCAAAATGGGGGGGGGGGCTCGGCTCAGAAAGTTTGAAAACCGCTGCAAGGGCCCGTTGCCCAGGGGCCAGAGTGGGCTGCTCCCAGGATGCTTTGAGATTTATCAGCCTGGAGGTGTTTCCTGCTATTGAGCCTGTAGCTGCTAGGTCCGCCCCGCCCGCGACCCCCTCTTGCCTTGGGGTTCACACCCCAGATCTCATCAGACACTTCTCCTGTGTATCCCCTCACCCCAGTCCCCACGTCCCTTTAGCCAGACAGACCAGACTCCACCCCAGGAATCTCCCCTCCAGTCCCAATTCGTGCCTTGCTCTTCTCTGAATCCCAGCCCATGGGTCATCCTCCTTGTGCTGTCAGGGGACTGACACTCTGCACCCTCCGCTCTTTCCCCTGCCCAGGGAGACCGCGGTCTGAAGGGGATGGAAGGGGAAAAAGGCGACAAGGGTGACCCGGGCCTCCCAGGAGAGAAGGTACGTGAGTGAGCAGCTGGAGGACAGGCAGGTGGGTATGGGAGCATGCCTGTCTGAAAGCTGTCCCAGAGGCTTGGGAGAAGCCCCAGAGCACTGGAGGCTTGGCAGGACCGAGAGCAGGTGCTGTGATGACTGGGCACTGTGGAGCACAGCCAGCCCAAACAGCTAGATGCTTTGTGCCCTTTGCTTGCTGTGAGCGCAGCCATTGAGAGAGGAGGGGCTTTAGGCTGGCGTCAGTGGGAGCTGCAGGGCCCGGTTATGGAACAGAGACCGGCAAGGAGGAGGATGAGAGAGGGGCGGGTCACTGGATACTGCAGGGGAACAGGCCGAGATTTGATGGAACAGGCTCAGTCCCAGCATGCGTTATACTCTGCTGATGGCTCAGGGGCACCCCGTCCTGGCCAGCGCCAGTCCCCCTATGCCACTGGCAGTGGTGGGGGTGCTCAGCAGAGAGTGGCCCCTGGACACCTCCTTTCCCGGAGGTGCATCAGTCTGACGTGGAGGGGAGTTGGCTAGTGAGTCACTGCCGTGGGGGAAGCAAATCAGGGACACTTTGTTTCTCTCATTTGGGGAACTTTTGTTAGAACCTAATATAATTTCAGAGGCTGGTTCTGTCCCTCCAGCTGCCTGCTGGGAGCAGGGGGTGCTTTCCTCAGGCTGTGCACTGATGTGTGCTTTCACCCGCAGGGAGGAAGGGGCGAGCAAGGGGAGAAGGGCTCCACAGGCTTCCCAGGAGCACGCGGCCCCGGAGGGCAGAAGGTAAGAATAGCCACAGGTGCGCCCAGCCCTGCACGTGCCATTCGTGCTCAGATGTAGGTGTGCCCGCAGGTGCGTGTGCACACAGGCCTGCTAGACCATCTGCTGTCCCGATCCTGGCATGTACTTGCGGGCATCACTCCGGCACCAAGCCCCTCCGGCCCTGACCCAGTGTCTTTTCCTTTCCAGGGTGAAGTTGGCGAATCGGGAGACCCCGGAGAGTCGGTGAGGAACTTTCCTTTGCTGCTGTTTCTCGCCCATTGCCTGGGAGCAAAGCCCGAGAGTCACTCTGTATTTCCTCTTTCTCCAGGGCCTGCCAGGAAAGGATGGAATCCCAGGATCCAGAGGGGAGAAAGGGGACATAGGGCCACTGGGAATGCGAGGCCCTAAGGTGGGCATTTTCTTAGTCTGTCTGTCTGTCCTCCTGTGACCCTGAGAGAGCCTGCCTGTCTGGGCCAGACATAGCCTTAGGGCAGACCAGAGGGAAGCTGAGCCCACTCACGGCAGTGTCTTGGGGCCAAGCACCTTGGGGAGAGAGGAACCCCCCCCGCCCGTGTGCATTCAGGATCAGTGTCAGGGAACCCCCAAGCCACCAATTAGCCCCTGGGAATGGGCTTGGATGCAGTGTAGCCTCCCAGGAATGGGTTCGGTGGCATCAGCTGCAAGACATTGGTGGCCTTGATAGCCTGAATTTCTCCGCCTTGATAACTGATACTCAGCATAGACCCTGCCTGCAAAACCAGCCCCCTGCCCCAGGGAATAGTGGCGAAGCGGGTCACAGAGCTGTGTTGTGACTTCTCTCTTCACTGCAGGGGGATCGGGGAATGAAAGGTGCCTGTGGCCAGGATGGAGATAAGGGGGAGAAGGTGAGTGTTCATGGGTGTGCACAGTTGACCCCCCTTCTCCAGCCAGTCAGCAGAGGTGGGGACACTTGGATCCAGAGGCGGCAGAGCCACCACGCTAACGGAAAGTGGGACTGCAGTGCGTTGGGATGTGCCAGTGGAGCCGCCCAAGAGCCCTGTGCTCCCCGCAGAGCTGAACGGATCCCTGGGGAAATGCCTGATGCTTAAGGGCTTCTAAGGGAATAAAGGCTGCCCTGGGGGCCAAGAGGCTTATGGGAAGTGGAGACAGTTCAGTCCCCATCTGGTAGAACCCAGTGGGGCTAACTCTGGGCCCAGTCTCGCCCCCAGGGCAGCCTGGTCACGTCACTTGGCTGGGGTGCTATGGAACTAAGCTCCGTTAGACCAGCACTGGCCCTCTGAGCCACCAGCGAGGTCTGTGTAGCAGACGAGGGAGGGGACTTTGAGAAGCCCCAAGTATCAGCCCTGTGGCACTGGAGGGCCCCAGGGACGCTGTGGAGGCTACTGAGGAGTTTGAGAAGGCAGGGGGGACCCTCAACCCCACCCCTTTGGAGCCCTAGTGTTGTACGGTGCAGCAACCCCCAACCGGAACTGAACCCCAGGAGGGGTGAGTCCATGGGCGGGCGGAGCTGTGTGGCATCGCCCCGAGCACTGCTCAGTGGAATATCTTCCCTTGGAGTGGAGGAGGAAGCCACGGGCTAGATATAACTCCATCAGCGAAGCAGTCTGTGCTGTAGGCACGAGCCCAGCATGGAGGGGCCAGGGCATTGTCCAGGCTGGTTCCCCATTACCCTGCTGTCTCCCACTGACCCGTGTCTCCTTCTGCCTCCTCTAGGGGGAGCCGGGGATTCCAGGCCGAATGGGACTTCCAGGAAGGAAGGGCGAGCTGGTAAGTGTAGCCAGCTGGCTCCAAGGGCAATGTGACGTGAGCACACCTGGACTGGCCAGCATGAACATCTGGTTTGTTTTCCCAGGGAGAGCTGGGCATGCCTGGAACCCCAGGAATCCCGGGGAAAGAAGGTCTCATGGGACCCAAGGTAGGGATTAAGGAGCAATAATGTTTGGGGGTGGAGCGAGGCCTGTGGATGAGGGGCTGCTGAGGGGCTTGCTGATCGCCCTCTTCAGACCCTGGCCTTCCTTGGCCGGAGCTGCCTCGCTGCCTCGCTGACTGTTAGTTGATAGTGTGCCACGGCACGTGCCCACGATATGTGCAGACAGTGGGATTTCTCCAGTGCTGCTAATAGAGGCACCAAAGCTGCCAGCGGCTCCTCATTAAGATGACGCTACAGACCTTTCCAGTGCACTCAGTCCTGAGCGTTGGGAAGTAATTAGATGCTGGGACGTGATGTTTCCGATCTAACTGCTGTTAGACTCTATACAAACCTGAAATTTGGGGCCCAAGCTCACCTGACAATGGCACCTCTACCCAGTCGCAGATTAGCTACTGGGCCAACGGGGCCTGTTCCCAGGGACCCTGGTCAATTGGGGGGGGCCCTGGAAAATGGGCGACCCCGTGCCCTGACCCGCTCCTCCCACCCAGCGCTCCTGCGGAGTGGGGCAAGCCTCCGCACCCCAACAGCACTCCCCGGCTGGGGCACCAGGCCGGCGGAGCGGGGCAAGTCCCTGAGCCCTGAGCCCACTCCCTGGCTGGAGCGTCAGACTGGCTGCGCCCCAACCCTGCTCCCTGGCAGGAGCACCGGGGCAGGGACTGCAGACAGAAGGGATGGCCTGCTCTGGCTCCACAAAACTGTAATCTGCCAGTGTCCCTACCCCAAATCTCCCTAGAAAAACCACCTTGTTCTTTGCCTTCCCAGGGTGACAGGGGATTTGATGGTCAGCAGGGAGCCAAAGGAGACCAGGGAGAGAAAGGAGACCGGGTGAGTTCTGCTTCACTAAGGGCCAAACTCCAGGGCCCTTGAATCTCGTGTTAGTGGGATCAGGGCTTATCCCTAAGTGCTTAGGAGTTTGGTAACTTCCCCACAGAAACCTTCTGCTGCTGCTATGGCAAACCCCAGCATGATGGCAGAGCTCTGGTGGACTTGCTAATTGCTGGACAGTTTTCAGACACTGACCATCGGTAGCTTGTTGCCTGTTAACCAGAACCGGACACTGATGTGTCCTGTAGGGTGTAAGGATATGCCCAGCCAACTGGAGAACTGTGATTTTTCTAACCAAGACAAGGGTCTCAGCACTGACTTGAAACTCCTCAGCATCCTCCCTTCCAGAGGATTCTGGCACGGCAGAACCGGTGCGTCAGGCTGTAGCAAAAGTGGGACTAGAGCAGGGTCAGTTCACTGTTAGAACTCCCAGCTGGTGAGAGCAGTCGCAGCCCTGCAGGCCTGGTGGAGAATATCTGCGATTCTCCCACTGACAACTGGTACCGTCTGGCATCTTCCCACAGATCCATTGCTGTCCTGCACCTTGCGGGGGGGGGGTAGAGCATCTATGCCGTATTGCCAACCCCAAGTGTTCACAAATCAGGAGTCAAGCCCTAAAAAAAATCCCAAGATTGGCTGAAAATTTGACTTTTTTTTAAACGACTAAATGTTGGGTTCTTTACCTTCTGGTTTGGGGGCCTTAAGGATGCACTCGGGACACATTTTTCAGCTTCTCTCTGCGACCAGGAGGGTGAGACGCTCATTCTTTTAAAATGCAAGTTGAAATTCTCACGTAATCACAGAATTTCAGGAGCTGGGGTTCGAAGAAAACCCTCAGATATGCTACTGTGATGAAATTGTGAGAGTTGGCCACATGTCTGTCAATAGACGACGCCTATCTGAAATGGTACAGAGCGGGTCAGTGCTGCGGGAGATTGACTCGGTGTGGGCCAAGGTGCCAGTCTGTCACACTCCCAGTTTGTACTGCCCTGTGTGGGTCGCGCCCTTCCTAACCCCTGCCTCTTTTCTCAGGGTACTCCAGGCATTATTGGCTCCCCAGGCCCTAGGGGCAATGATGGAGCACCTGGCCCACCTGGCCCCCCAGGTAGTGTTGGCCCTAAGGGCCCTGAGGGGATTCAAGGGCAGAAGGTAAGAACCTCTTCCCTGTGCATGGCCATGTCCCTACAGCTTGTACCTACCCCTCCTGACCAGGGCAGTGTTACCCTCTGAATGGCCAGCAGGTGGCGTGCTCCTGTCTCTTGCTGCCTCTGGAATTCCACAAGGAAACAAAAACTGGACCCCAAACCCCAGTGCACTCCCAGCCCTGGCAACAAAGGGACCAGTGTCTGAGGGGGAGCAGCAGCCCCTTTTCTGTGCAGCACTCAGGAGCAAGAGACCACCTGAAGGGAGAGAGTGAGCTTGCAGGGGTCCCTTGGCAGGCGCAGGGTGGAGAAAGCAGTTCCCCTTCCCCTCCCATCTGTTTCAGTTCTGCCTGGTCATATCCCCATCCCAGGGCAGTGAGGAGGGCCCCGGACCTGGCTGCAGTTAGCAGGCAGCGAGGAGATGGTAGTTAGACTCTGTTTAAGCAGGATCGGCTCCATCCACCTTCTGAATCTATGAACGGTGCCGTGCGAGTGATGTGCAGAGGCTGTTGGAGTGACAGGCAGTGTTGCTCACTGGCTAGAGCAGGGAGCTGGGCGTCAGACTCCTGAGGTCTATTCCCAGCTCTGTCACTGGCTCACGCTTTGACTTGGGTCAGTCTCGTAACCTCTCTCTGTATCTCTGGGATCATTTCCTCGCCCTAAAGGGGCGGTGGGCTTCATTGATGAATGCTGCAGCATGCCTCTGGCCCTGAGCTGGCAGGCACCCCGCAGGGGTGCAGTGTGTTCATTCTGGCTCTGTTCTGGAGCACTGCTATTTCATGACCTCCCATTCACGCACAAGATCAGCTTCAGGGCTGCCCTGAACCCAGCCCGAGGGCACCGTGTGTGGTGTCTTCCCCCCAGTGCTGCATCTTTGGTCAGATCGGATTGCTCCCCTAGGGGACAGTTCTCACCTACAAGGGCACGAGGACCCACGTTTGAGAACTTCTCACTGGGGATAGGGAGATGAAAGCAGAAGAGTCTAATGTTTTGGAAGCGGCTGAGAAATCTCTCTCGAAATAAGTGAGACTGTCAGGCGTACCAGCTCGTTTAGAGCCGGGTCTAGGGAACAGCCCCATTCCCTACAAGAGGGAGCTCTGGGGCATGGGGAGGATGGTAGATCCGGTTCTGGGATACTGCCCAATCCTAGAACTCCCCTTGCCGGCCAGTGTCTCAGTGTGTATGTTCCTGCTGCAGGGTGAAAGAGGCCCCCCAGGGGAGTCGACTGTAGGGACCCGAGGCGTCCCTGGGATTCCAGGAGAGAGAGGAGATCAGGTTTGTAAGCATGTTTCTGACCCATTGGATGTGCATTGCCTGGTCGAATGCTTGGCTCTGCCTGTACGTATTCGCTGTACCTTGAACCCCACCCCCGTCAGGCGAAGAGGAGAGCTTTCTAGGGGGCTGCCAGGGTTCTGCGGAGGGTGGGTGTCTCCTGGCTCAGGGGTTGCTGACCGCGTAGCATGTCTCTTGATTTCCTATTTGGCTTGTTTTCAGGGGAATCCGGGACTCGAAGGCTCGAGAGGAGAGAAGGGGGACCCTGGCATGACGGTGAGAAGAGAGCTCCCTGAGGTCTTGGAGCAAAGCCCTGACCCTCAATGACAACACATCAGTGCTACTGCGCAGTCAGTCAGAGCAGTGGGATACTTCCCCCTCCCAGGGGCTGGGACTGGCCCCTGAGTCCTGCCTTCCTGCATGGCAGGCTCGAGGCCTTTTCCCCTTTACAGTTTCCCTCCAGGTCTGGCTCAAGTATTGGATTGCTGGAGTGGGGGGAGACTGCTCTTTTCCCAGTGATTCCCAGAGCAGCTGAGGCAGGCTCATGGTGGGCTGGGGGGGCCGGAAGGCATCTCTTCCCTCTCTCTTGATTCCCTTGGTTTTCTCTGCAGGAACAAGAGATCCGCGCATTTGTCAGGCAGGAAATGAGTCAGCACTGCGGTAAGTGAGGCTTCACCTTCCACTTGGGGCTGACTGACTTCTCAGCAGCACCACAGCTCTGATCGCTTATCGCTACAGAATCGTCCCCTTCGCGGTCTCCTCCTCCGCCCTCTGTCCCTTTGCCCCTTCCTCTCCCCTTCTTTTGGTGACGTTGCATGTGCCATGACTCCCACATCTGGAGGTGTTCAGAGTACAATGGGCCAACCCCATGCGAGCGTTAGGGGCCTATCAGTCTAGTCTGGCTCTCTGTCCCTTTCCTGGTACCTGGTGGCGGGGCAGGTCTGTGCCAAGTGCCAGGATGCTGGAGAAGGCTTTCCCCATGGATTAACCTCCTCTTTTCTCTCTTTCTCTCCACACAGCTTGCGGAGGGCAGCTCTCCTCTTCTGAACCACGTAAGCACTGATTTCTTGTGCACCCTGTCATCCCAGTTTGCAGTGCTGAGCAGCAGCAGCCCTGTCATTGACGAGCAGGTCCGTTCTCCCAGATATGTAGCAGGTTTCACGAAAGGGGCATGGCCCCTGCTGGAAGGTCACATGCAGCTAGCTCAGCCCTGTAGGACTGGCCAGGTTGGCAGATTGCCAACAGAAGAGGCAGCCCTGTGGAGATGCTGGCTTGGCAATGAGCCCTTGGAGACTTGGCAAGAGTGGCTGGGTTGGTAGGGGAGCTGTCACTGAGGGTGACTGGCTAAGCCAGGAGCAGGAGATAATGGAAGCTGGAGTAGCAAGGGCAGAAGAGGTGATGAGTGACATGCTGCAGTTTGAAACATTCCTCAGCAAGGTCTCAAGTCTGGCAGCACTCGGGGTGTCAGTGAGTGCAGTGGGGATTCTGAGGGGGTAGCACCAGGGAGAGAATCCCTGTAGGCAAGGAGCACTCAGTAGACGCCAAGCTTAGAACTGCCAATAGGGCAGTCTCAAAGCAGAGCTCCAGAGGCCGGACAGGAATGCATGGCCAGGCATCTGACAGCAAAAGGCGAGTGCTGCACTGGGTGTCCCCAACCTGAGACAGCATCAGACATGCTACACCAAGATTAGCAAAGAGAGTCACAGCAGCCATCCCTTCTCTGGACCCAGCGTCCAATGCGGCTCTCCCCAACTCACTTTGGACAGACTACCAGTGGGCACAGTAACGTATGGGTAGTCGTGCCTGGAGAAGCCAATACTTGTCATACCAAGGCACCAAATACATGGTAACAAGCTTATAAAAGAACAGTTATTGTGCAAGCCAGGACTGAGAAATCACTGTAGCCAATACACTAGAGTAAGGAGAATAAGAGGGCACAAGGACATTGACAGACTCATCCAGGCTGAGATCCGTTCCTGCACAAGGGCTAAGCCTGGTATGGATCAGGGGAGGAAGAGAGAGGTGAGTGGAGGAAGGGAAGGAAAGAGAGGGCTGGTGAGGAAAGCAAAGGGGAAGGAGGGTTTCATAGCAGGTTCCCAGAAATGGTCAAAGAACAGCTGAAGATTGTAGGGAAGAGGAGGCCAGCGGGGCAGCCAGCAGCGAAGCCTGGCAAGGAGGAGCTGTGACGCAGAGGTAGGTAATGTTTGGGCAAACATGAAATGAATTATTTGCCTGATTGTTCTCAAAGGAGGATGGGGGACACATGCAAGGAACAGACATAAATCTTCCAGGAGAGGAAGAAGAAATACCAGAGGAAATCAGGATCACGGCAGAACAGGTGATCGAGAAAGCAGAGCATCTTTCTAAACCACCCATGCCAAACCCGCCCAGAGCAGAGCCAAGCAGACTCCATCCTTGAATGGCGAGAGAGTGTGAGAGAGATTATCTTCTAGTAGATAATTCCACACTGTTTCCAGCCAGACCCAGCAGGCTGTACCAAGCTGGGAAAAGGCTGAGTTTAGTATCAGAGGCATCATTCGTACAGGGCACAGTGTTCAGGGGCTTCTCAGCATTCCTGTAGTACCTTCCTATTTGTGTGTAGAATCTGTGACCACATGCCTCATCCAGAGCTGTGAGTGAGCCTGCCTCATATCTGGGAAGACCTGTGCTGTGCTCGTCTGTGTCTTGTCTTGTCCTCCATTGGTGTTTGACTAGCAGCTGCCTCGTTGTTTTTGTATATCGTTCAAACTCTAACCCACCAAGGACTGTGTTCAAGAGCATGTCTGCCAGCCCCGGGAAGCCCAGTTCTACTGAGGGAATGGGGTGAAGGGAATCTGAAGAGAATATATCTCCCTTTGTGCAAGCACTCTGCCTTCAGGTCTCTTTCTGCTGGTATTTCCAGCATCTATATTGCCATCCCCTTGCAGTGGAGTAGGTAGGGTGAATTTTTCTGTATAGCCCATGTCCCAGGAGGTCCTGTCCCATCAGAGGCAGGAGGATACAACTGCAATGATTATGCCACAAGCCAGGGCTGATGCAGACAAAGTGCTGTTGTGCAGTGTCCAATGGCGGGCTGCAAGAGGTGGTCCAGACCTGCCAGTCTATGGTGCTTCTCTTCGTAATGGCTATTTCCTCCCATAGGTCTCCAACGCAGTGCTAGTTTTGCACCATGTCTGACTGGCTGTTAGCAGCCCTAGAAGTGGACAGTGCTGATGCTGCTCTTGAGCATTGGCCTGTGGCTTGTCGGGGGGAGGGGAGCCATGTCAGTCATTTTCACGTCCTGTTTGATGTCTGTGCTGTGTCCTTGCCTCTCTTAGGTCTTCTCCCCAACTATCCATCCACCCAACCATTCCCGTCTGTTAATGCTCATCTAGTCCCTGTGCTTAAGTTGTCACACGCTGAAGAAGAGGAGGGTGAGTCTTGTCTCTTTGTGCCCTGTCATAATACTCATTCTCCGGTGCTGTCTTTGTGAGTCCTGCATGGAAGCTTTGCCATTACAGTGTCCTTCACTTGCAGGTACCAAGTGATTGCAATACCCGCCTTCTGTAACAGTAACTCAGAGAACCTAAGGCAGCTGCAGGCCATTTAAAAGTAGAGTTCTAGCTATTTGTTACTACCTTAATGCTAAGATGCACCTAGGTATGGGCCATTGTATTATGACTTAATGAAAGGCATCTGCGTTCTCGCAATGATGTCTTTGCTATGTCCTCAACCCCCAACCACCTTTGGATCAACTGATCAGAGGGACAGGCGAGTGAGAGTGATGTACAGAATGAAAGGAGTGTTGTTTATTGAACAGCTGGAGTGCACGAGGTGCTCAGGATGAGTGGGTAGGTTCATGGAAAGATAAACAGTGGATGAGTAGAGGAGTAAGTGTATGGGTTGGATAGATACTGCAGGATGGTCGCATGGTTTATGGAAGGGTATGTGATGTAATGGATGTGTGAATGTCCGGGACGACCGGGGCATGGATGAGTGACTATGGATGGAGAGTAGATGAATGGATGGGTTCATAGGTTGAGGGGGTAAAAGGTATGGGAAGAGGGTATGTCTGAAGAATGATGGGAATGTGAAGGCAAATGGGTAGAATGACTGGAAGGATTGATTGGCCGGATGCTACAGCACAGCTGGTTGAAAGTGAACTGTAAAGCAGCATAGGTTGGTGGGTAAACATCTAAACCTGAATTGCATCCAGTAGTAAGTGAAGGTGGCACAAATCCTCCCTCTAGCTCAGGGGTGGCCAACCTGTGACTCCGGAGCCACATGCGGCTCTTCAGACGTTAATATGAGGCTCCTTGTATAGGCACTGACTCTGGGGCTGGAGCTACAGGCGCCAACTTTCCAATGTGCCAGGGGGTGCTCACTGCTCTGCCACAGGTCCTGCCCCCACTCCACCCCTTCCCCTGAGCCTGCCATGCTCTCGCTTCTCCCCCTCCGAGCCTCCTGCACGCCACGAAACAGCTGATCGGGAGGTGTGGGGAGGGAGGGGGAGGCACTGATTGGCGGGGCTGCCGGTGGGTGGGAGGCACTTGGAGTGTTTGGGGGAGCTGAGGGGGGGCTGCTGATGTATTACTGTGGCTCTTTGGCAATGTACATTGGTAAATTCTGGCTCCTTCTCAGGCTCAGGTTGGCCACCCCTGCTCTAGCTCCTTTTCCAGCTTCTCTGTTGTCCCATTGAGGTAGGGCACAGAGAGATTTGCAGAGATAAGGCTCCAGGGAGTGTGTTCATTCCCCATTTATTTAATTGTTAGCATTTTCGGTGACAACCTCTTTGCTTCTCCTGTGCCCTGCCCCCACACACCCCTTGTCTGCTCTAGAACATTTTGTATCCGTTTTCCAGCCATAGTGACCATTCTAGTAAAATGAGCACAACATTTTCTAGTGTAGCTTTAGCCACACAGTTCCCTGTGCTGTGACACTGCACCTTCAGGCAAGTGACCCCTGTGGTACAGTTAGTCACTGGGCAGTGCAGTCAACTCATCTCCCCCTGGCTACCTTTGTGCAAACAAGCCAATGCACCAGCCGGGCAATTCAGTGGCATGTTGACCAAGCCTGTTATTGAATCTGCCATTTTCATCAGCCGCTCCCAGAATCAAAGCTGAAGGCCAATTGTCGTCATCCTAGGAATGATGAGGGATGAATTCCCACATGGCTCGCCCAACAAGCCCAGTGACCCCATCCACCTGCCCTTCCCACCCTGCACTTCCCTGTCCTGTGGCCCTTCTCATATGGCCGGTGTTATTTTCCAGGGCACGAGGTGCGTGTTGTGAACACAAATGACCCTGAGTATGAGCACGTCTACGCAATGGAGTACTACGAAGAGGGCCTGGAAGCTGATGGGACAGAGAGCACCATGCTGAGCGATGGTGAGTTTCCTTAACCTTCCGACAGCTCTGAGGAAAACGAGACCTGCCATGAGACTCTCGGGGGTGGAGGGGAGCAGAGAAAAAGCAGCAGCCTTGGTTTTATAGGGACAGTCCAGATTTTTGGGTCTTTTTCTTATATAGGCTCCTATTACCCCCGACCCCCATCCCGATTTTTCACACTTGCTGTCTGGTCCCCCTACCCACAAGTATCAGGATTGAAAGGTGGAAGATGCTGGCTCCCCTGAACTGTAACAAAGCCCTCTCCCTGGCCACACCATGCACAGGTCACCTGCCCCTTCAACTCAAGATCGGAAGTCACAAAAATGGGGTCCCAACTTGCATGGGGAGAAATGGCAACACGAAAGTAGCAGAGTTGCTTGAAAATCCTTCAGAACTTAACTATTGTACATCATTGCTATGCTGTCTCCTCTCCTGGTGGCAACCTTGTGGTCCTCCTTTTTGCTGGAGCTTTCTGTTGGGGTCTACTTTTTATGAGACAGGGAAGGCCAGCAATGTCCTGGAACCCTTGTGAAATACCTCCAAGGACCACTGGTTCCAAATTTCCACACCCAAATAGCCTTATAGAAAATCAGCAGCTTCAGACTTTAGAGAGAAGTCTTTTCTCTCCTGATTATCCAACACCATTCAGTGAGGTCACCATAAATGGCAATTTCAAAGTCATCATGCTTCCCATTGGATGTGGCATCTACTGTCCGTGCCAACATTATGGCTAAGTCCTGGGCTCATCTACAAGAATCTAGGCAACTAGCTCTTAAATCATATTTCTTACATGTCTCAAAACAGGGCATAAAAGCTTCCTTTCTACCTCTTTAAGGTTACAAGGAGTTATTTTCTGCCCCATGGATACTGGAGGTGTCCACCTTGTTGCTGTATTACAAGAGTTGATTTTACTAAATAGCAATTACAATGCACATGATTTTTGAATTTTAAATGCAGGCTACGTAAGCTGAGGTTTCACATAAAATACTATCACCAAGCATATATAACAGGAGGATCCCGCCTTTTTTCCTGGAGAGGCCATTTTTGTTGTGCCCGAGAAGGAGTTCAGTCTCCATAGCCCAACGAGCCGTTGGCTTCTCGGTCACAAGTGAGATCAAGTAGGGAAATGTTTGCCAGCTGTGCTGCGATTCTGTTTTGTGGGTGCTTGTCCACTAAGCACTGGACAGAGCCCCACCCACTTGTTTCACATAGGCCGCCAAACAGCCTTCAGATGGTAACAACTTCCACTGGGCCAGGCTGGGCACAGTGAGTGAGAGGTGAAAGGCTCCGTATCCTGTTCCCACCTCACATGCCAGGCAGCCTCACTGCGGGAAGCAGTCAGGCACATGGACTTTACCAACTCCTAATGACAATGCTTCAGCCACCAATCCAGTACAAGGTTTGAAGCATATGGATGGATCACATAGGCTTTCAAGAGCTGATGGTTTATCCAGCAGATGCAAATCTTAGTATCAGGGTTCAGGACTGACAACGCTATCTAAAGTGCTGCCATAGTGCCAGCATAGGATCCAGGTACTGACCTTCAGGTTTGGGGGAGACGGTATTGTGACATACAGGGATACAATTCAGACCAGTGGAGGCCTTTGTCACCCTTGTGTGCCTTACAATGCCTTGCTGAAGTAGCTCCCACCTGGGCTGCTCACAAACAGCCAAACAGCATGCAAGCCACACCTTGCCCGTTACATCCTGGCTCTCACCAGCTTTGGTTCTACTGCAGAGTGACCCCAACTTGCCCTCAATCCTGGATTTCCCCCCATAAATGTATGTCCTGTACTGCCCAACCCTCTCCTGGACTGTACAAATATTTTAAGTCCGTTATTCCTTTAAGGGAATAATATATCGGCTTATTATCTTAAATAGAGTTACCCAGACACTTCAATTTAAACACACTGGATTAGATAAAACAGTAAATCAAGATTATAAACTACAAAGGGATAGATTTTAAGTGAGTACAAGTAATGAGTCATAAAAGTCAGAAACGGTTACCAGAGAAATAAAGATAAAACGCCTGCTAGTGCCTAACTTAACAAACTATATTAAATTCAAGCAAAATTTCTCATCACATGCTTCCAGCAATGTTAACATGCCCCACCCCCAGAGTCCAACAGCTGTTTTTCTTTGTCATCTTAGGTGCAATGCTTGAGACAGACGGAGGGAGAGAGAAAGAGGGGGGGTGTCCTGGGGTGTTTTCCCCTTCTTTTTATAGTTTGTTCTTCTCTTGAAAAACATTTTCCAGCTGAGAAGTAGGAGACAGAGTCTGTGTGACAGGATGTTCCCTGCTGTTTTTCCTACATGTTTGAGCTTTCTTTGTTTTCCCTTCCTGCTTGATGACTCTCTTTACTGCTTAAATGCAAATTAAGGCAAACATACACTTCTTTGTTCCAAACAGACGAGTTTGGTGCTACATGGGTCTTGAACATGCACTCTTAACGTGATACAGGGGAACCTTATTGTGATGGGTTCCCCCTGGAGTGCCACCTGGAACTGGGGTACCACTGAGCCCTCTGACTGACCAGCCTGGGCTCCCTCTCACACTTGACAAGCTCTAGACCACTCCCGGTCTTACACTTCCACCAGCATTTACACAGGCAGGGACACGCCAAGCTGCAGTTACATGCAGGCTTTGACCAGCCATTGCATGAACCAACAATAGAAAGGCTATAGCCAAGATTACTCCCAGCCTAGAACCAAGGAGCTGTACCATCCTGCCCGGATCAAAATCCCAACCAGTATGAATTTATTACTCAGTTCGCCTCTCCCTCCGTATGGAGAGGAATATGCTCACTTGTGGTAACTAAGCTGAGATTTTCCCCAGACACTTAAAGGCACCCTGGTTTAGGTTCAAATATAAAACAAGATTATTACCTACAAAAAGATAGATTTTAAGTGATAGCAAACAGATCAAACCAGATGATCTAGTAAATTAACAAAAACACAAACTACGCTTAACATATGGGAAGGATAGGATTTGAATTAACAATTTCTCACCCTGGCTGATGACACAAGCAGGCTTGCAGATTCTCAAGGCACAGGCTGCACTTGCTTTGCAGCTTGGGATCCCCACCCCCGTTCCAAGTCCTTTTCTTTCGGAGCTTCTCTCAGGTGTTGAGTTGTGGGGGAGTGAAGAACAACAGATGATGTCGCTCCCTGCCTTATATAACTTTTCCATATGGCAGGAACCCTTTGTGCCAAAAACAGTTCCCAGCCCAGTTTGTGGAAAAATACAGGAACCCAAAATGGAGTCCAGAGAAATGTGGTCTGGTCACATGCCCTTGCAGAGTCATAGAAGCCATTACTTACAGGCTGGCTGAAACATCCCCAGGAAGGCTTAGCTATGCCACAGCCCATTGTCTTTGCTGACAAGCCATTAACTGTCAGGTTTTTTCATTGTTGTACCGGACAGGCTGGCTGTGCGTGTTTTCCAGAGTAAGCCCATTTGAAATACAGATCCATAATCAATATTCATCACTTCAGATACAAAAATGATACATGCATACAAATAGGATAATCATATCCAGCAAATTATAACTTTTCCAATGACACCTTACATGACCCATCTTGTACAAAATGCATCATAATTATACCATAATCATATCATGCTAATATTACTATGACAAATATGGGGTGTAGTGTCACACTTACAACTTCACATACAGTATTGCCACACATATTTTATCTGGGCAGTACTGACCAGCAAATTGAGTTTTGAAATGATACTTTACAAGGCATACCTTATACAAAGATTATTACAATAGTGCATAGGGTGTAAATACAGGGGTGTATTCCATCAGACCTCCATCCTTACAAACCTGCAGTAGGGTTAGCCACTGGCTGACCTGGAGGCAGCAGGTCAGGGCCCTCTTTCCCGGACAGGGCATCTGCCACCATATTTTCTTCTCCCTTGGTATGTACAATCTCCATATCAAGTTCTTGTAGTATAAATCTCCAGTGCAGAAGCTTGGAATTTGAGCCATAATTTTGTTTAACCGGATCAATGGATAATGATTCCTTAAAACTCTGAACTTCCTGTTAAAAAGATAGGGCCTAAACTGCTTGACTGTCCACACAATTGCATAACATTCTTTCTTTATGACAGAATAATTTTGTTCAATGCGTGTCAATTTCTTGCTTAAGAAAGCAATGGGGTGTTTCTTGTTGTTTTCCCCTGTCTGCATCAGGATAGCCCTTAACCCAGGGTCTGATGCATCTGTGCACAGTTCAAACATTTTATCAAAATCTGGACCAGCTAGAAGAGGCTTTTTCAGACAAGACTTTCTTTAGCTTATCAAAACTCTCTTATCATGCCTTGTCCATACAACTTCGTTAGGCTTTGTCTTTTTACATAGACCTGTGATTGCAGATACACAAACCTTCTGTAATAGTTTACCAGACCTATGAAAGATTGAACCTGTTTTTTGGTTTGGGGTATAGACCAATTTACTGTGCTTTCAACTTTCAAGGTTTATGGGGATATCTGACCTCTCCCTACCCAGTGTCCCAAAAAAGGAACTCTGGCTGCTCCAATTTGACACTTAAGAAGCTTTTATGGGCAGGCCTCCCTTTTTGAGTTTTGACAGCACCATTCGTAAGTGTTTTTTTGTGATCAGCACAAATATTGCCAAACATTGCAATGTCATTGACATAGGCCCTTGCAAATCTCTGTGAACCATTTAACACTTGGCTGACCAGCCTCTGAAAGGTGGCCCCTGCATTAATTAACCCAAATGGTAACATTGTGAACTCAGAGAGCCAGGTCGGTGATAAAAGCGGCATCATTCTGTGTAGCCTCATCTAAGGGAATCTTTCAATAACCTCTACCAAATCAAAAAAGCTGAGATATTTAGCTTTGCTTAAGTATCAGAGGGGTAGCCGTGTTAGTCTGAATCTGTAAAAAGCAACAGAGGGTCCTGTGGCACCTTTAAGACTAACAGAAGTATTGGGAGCATAAGCTTTTGTGGGTAAGAACTTCACTTGCATCTGAAGAAGTGAGGTTCTTACCCACGGAAACTTATGCTCCCAATACTTCTGTTAGTCTTAAAGGTGCCACAGGACCCTCTGTAGCTTTGCTTAAGATATCTAGCATATCCTCTCTTTTAGACATAGGATAAGCATCTGGTACTGTGACCACATTGAGTTATCTGTAATCAACACAAAACCTTACAGTGATATCTTTCTTAGGGACCAAGACCACAGGTGATGCCCAAAAGCTGTCAGACTCTTTAATTACTCCCAGGTCTAACATGCTTTGTATTTCTGTACAAATTTGTTCCTGCACCTTGCCAGTAGCCCTGTAGATCTGCTGGGAGGTGGCTGTAGTCTTTCTTTAATGATTTTGAGTCAGCCAAGTGTGTCTGCCCTGGCTTGTTAGAAAATATGTTGTGGTTTTGCAGCACAGACAACACATCTTCCCTTTCAGCTGGTATGAACGCGCTGCAGATATCAGTGCCTTCCAGAGTTGAATCAGTTTGGCATTCAGCCATTAAATCAATGAGGTGGTATGCCTCAGTTTCCCCTTCCACAGAGGTATGACCAATGCAAAATGTTTGTGTCTTCCGTTCACATATAAACTGCCAACCCCATCTGGCTCCTTTCCATTTCTCTCTAGCTGTACCTTACTGGGGGTTTGCCTTGGGTTCTGAAGGGCAAGAGGCATCCTAATGTCTTCTGATGATGATGATTTCCTAGGTATGATGTCAGAGGAGATTTTTAAGCATTGATCTCTTTTCTCTCTCAGCCCCAGGGAACCTAACCAGCAAGTCTGTTCACTTTTTTCCCCTCCCAGCTGACCTATGCAGCTTGCCCCTGGACGAGGGAGACTGCAGCAGATTCACACTCAGGTGGTATTATAACCAAAAAGTGGCAGAGTGCCGGCCTTTCATCTACAGCGGCTGCAGGGGGAACCTCAACCGTTTCTACACCAAGGAGGACTGTGATCTCCAATGCAGGCACCAGGCAGATTCAGGTAGGGGACCAGCAGTGCCGCTCCTCTCCATTGCCAATAGATCTAGGACAATAAATGTCCCTTTGTGCTGATTCAGCCCAGAATGTAGGTGAAAACGGGCAGGCTGTAACACCAGTGTGTTTAGATGCTGGGGTGTAGCGGTCCTGATTCCTAGTCGTCTGCTTTTACCGCTCTTTCCTCTTTCTCTGCAGATGCCCAAATTGCTGCTGACAACACATCAGATACGAAGAGGAATGCGTAAACTGCCCTGTTTTAGTGGGGTTTCCCTGTCCAAGGGGGAACTGACCAAAGGGAGAGAAGACCCCACCTGCCCTCTGAGTGAAAGACTCTTACAGGCTCCTACAGGGGAACCTACCCTGGGCCTGCCCCAGGTCCCAGCCACACATGGTGCGTTTGGTCTGAGACTCTCCTTGTTGCCATCTCTGCTCCCTGCAGCGCTGCCCCACATGCCAGCTTGCTGGAGCAGAGACTTGGTGCTATTTCGTAATGAGTGTTTGTGCTGCTCTTGGTTTTACTTTTTATTATTATTTTTAAATTCAGGTGAAATTTTTATCAAATGGAAAAAAATATCTGTAACCTCTTTAAAAAGCCAACAGGTCTGAATTCGAACTTTTTAACTTTTGATGCTGATTAAGAACACACAGAATGCGTTAGCCGGTCCAAACCTGTTCATATTGCCACTTGCTTTATTTCTGGTTCAAAGGCCTGTGGGCCCCTGCTTGTGAAATGGACTAGCCAGCTTGAATGTCTCCTTGCCAAACTGCTCCTGTGGAATTGGCGAACCACTCGCTCAGTGAGCAGAGCTGTGAATGGCAGCATTGCACAAAGCCCCTGGATTCAGTGCCAAAGTTTGCATGATGTTAATTCTCCAAAGGGTAAACTCATCTTGGTTTCTGCGTGGAAGCTGCCCCCTTCCATCCCCCAGGCACTGGAAATGCTCCTTCGTGGCTTGTAACGCTGTGTTATCTTTTCTCTTGCTGTTTGTCTTTTGGGGGGACTCGTTGGGCTGTTGGCAATTCCACCCTTGGGGCTGCCAAAGGAATAGAACATACAGGCTGCCTTCCTCTCCTGGCATATCCCAGGCATTTGGACTGTATCCGAGAGGAGGAAACACAACCCAGTTGGGCAGCCCTTGAATCTTAGAGATGCGATCTCACGGCTTGGAAGAGACTGGCCAGGTGCCAGTTCTCCTCAAGCCCCAGCAAGAGCCAGAGCCCAGGGACCTTCTCTATAGGCAATTCCACCATTCTCAGCCTAACTCTTCTCTTAGCTCCATGCTCAGAAGCCCTCGCAGACAAGCATGTTGCAAATAGCAAAATACGGTTTACTGCTTAGCAGCGGAGATCAGCCTCTCTCTCATGGTCCGTGCATTTCCCTCTGGATCCCCAAGCAATCTGTTCTGCTCCAAAACAGCATTTCCCTCTGGAGCCCCAAGAAACCTGTTTTGCTCCAGAACAGGATTTGCCAAAGGACCGGACCTGGTTGGTGTCTCAAACCTCCATGCTCCGGCAGGACCAGACTGTTTGCACGCTCCATTCGCCATCATCTCTGCCTTTTTTTCAAACAAACCATTTTATAGTAACGAAGGGTGGTGGGTGGGGCTTGTTAAAGGCACTTTCCTGTTGGCCTCCACCAAATCCTGGATGGTAGCTACATCTCCCGGGTGCTGCTCCCCTGCACTGTGTGCTGCTTGATGTCTGCAAACATTCAGTTGGGATAAAACAGCTGGGAAATTCAATTCACACCTGACTGGACCTCCGGTGCAATTTTGTGCCCAGGCAAAGGTGATTTTACAGAGGTCCCTGGGAATATCCAAGACCTCCGATTAAAGAAAAGAAATCAGGATGTTGTAAAAATTAATTTTGGATTCCAGATAAACTCTAGTCAGGACCATTTGCAAATTTCACACCATGTAGAGACTTGGGATTTGGAAAATCATGATTTTTATTTAATTACTAATTGAATTAACCTCTCAGGTTCCAGGCGGGGGCTTCACAGGGGTTAAGGCTGTAACATCTGTGCTTGTTATGCCACTGGGGGAGGCATAGGCAGCTGTGAAAGAGCAACAAATCTGTCAAAGGAGACATTCCGCACCTCCTCCAAAATAAATTTCATTTGAAGAAGTTTCACCTTAATCCTGAACAGTAATCAACATTCTCAAGCAAGAGTGACAGTATTGGAAGAAACCCAAACAAAGGCCAGAGCGTGTTTGTGTACGTGTGTGTGTGCGCGCATGTGGATTTGTCTGTATGATGCACATTGATCCACACCCATTTTAACAATGCTTTTCTTTAACCTAGTGGTGCTGAACCATGTTATGAGAATAATCAGGGAAACACTGAGGATGGTGCTATGCTATTGTAAGTTCCTGCCATCATACGGCATTTTAAAAAGCTTTGTAAAAACTGTTTGCAACCCTGGTTTTATACCATCACCCTTTTCCCCACCCAAAACGCTGTGCCCCCGGTTGGACATGCTCGCACTCTCTTTCAGTTCTGTAAAGTGTCAATACAAACCTCCCATCTTTACACAGCTGTTCTGAAAAGGGAAACAAGGGTAACCGTCAGATCTGAAACCATTCCAATGGGTGGGTGTATATATGATATCTATATATTGCTGCACTGTGTGTGTATATATGTATACAACATGTGTCTGTGTGTCTGAATGCAAGGGAGGTGTCATTTAAAGCTGCAGTAATTGGAATCTGATGCAGTTATTGTAATGATCGCTAACGAGGGAACACCCTGGGCTAAGACACAGGCACAGACAGATTTCACTGGCTGAACAGAAGTTAGGGAGCCACAGTGTGACTTTAAAAGATTGTTTCTGTAGTCATCGGGTCATGTTCCTGTGGAGTGGCTTGAAACAGGTGTAGTTGAGGGAAACGTGACTGGTGTTTCGAGTCTAGGTACAAAGTGCCTGGCTTCATGTGGTGAGGCAGTCTCTTGCTATTGAAAGACTGCCTGGCTGAACAGTACAGAGTAAGAACTATGCCTGGGAGGACATGTGTATGCAGCACTGTTGTGATCTCAGTGCATTTACTGTGGATCTCCATTTTGATTACAGTTCAGATCCTTACTAAAGACTACTAGTACTACTACTACTGTGTTTTCTGGTAATGGCCCAATTCTGAGGTCTTGGCTCCTGACACAGTCCTAAATAACCAGCAATATCTTAGAGTTGCTGATGTGTCATGTCACCTGCCCAGCTGGAATTGTGCTGTGATGCTTTCAGCAACCTCCTCTGAATTTGTCAGGCTTAGATCTTCAAAGAATGGGTGTGAGTGCGAAGCCCCCTGTTACAGTAATGGGCACTAAAACATCTGACTCGGTTGAGGACAGACCTTCTCCCTGCCTGCATGGATTGCCCACTCCCGTGGGATGCCTGGGTTAGTGCCAGTGCTTTCACAGGTATCCAGCACTGTGCGATGTGCAAGAATGACAATGGAAACAATCTTTCAGCTTTTTCCATAAAGGTCTCCTGGAAATTGAGAACCACCATCCTCCTTACATCTGGGCCCATGTGACCTTGCTGTAGATCATTACTAAAGATAAACTTAACTTATCAGCATGTTCCCTGCATCTTTTGGGGGGAAGTGTTTGTCAGCATCCAGTGGTGAGTTTCACTTCAGTGTCACCTGGCAACAGCTGACAGAGGCAAAAATACCACCCTGCCTGGCAGTGACTTTAGAAGATTTGTCTGGATAGATTCAGAGAAGGGTGACTACGATCCCAGCCTCTGTTGCTTTTGTAGCTGCTTGATCTGCTTGCCATGGAAGCAAAGCAGGCAGCTGGCAGCACCATCCAGAGCGTGTTACTTTGTGTCACTCCAGTTGCTCAGGTACACACTGTACAAGGCTTGTTACTACTACTGATGTTGAACTGCTCCTGCAGAATCTAGATGCAAGTCATGTTGGGTTGTTGTTGTTTTTTCTGTCAAGTGCCTTTCATGACATATGGTGCAAAAACTCAAAATCTGGCAAATAAAAGTTTGTGATACCTCATTTCTGTTGGGCTTACCAGTCTGTCTGTTAATGCTGTGTCTCTCCCTACCCACTACAGAACCTCTTGCTCATCGCTACCTCACAGTGTTTCTTCACTTGCTGGAATTTGGGGGCCTTTAGAAATGTGTGTCTGTCTCCCCATCACTTTATCCAGCCCTTTTGCTTCTTGGCCTGTAATAGAGAGGAGCAAGTTGGTGCCAAGACTCGCAGCTGCCATTAAAGAGCCCCATAGAGAGTGTATGAGGATTGTTCCCAATTTGATGCACAAGCCTGAACTTGCTACTGCGACTGGCTGAAAAGTAGCGAGAGCCATCTCTCTGGGTCAGGAATATACACTTGTCATCAGTCAGCTGCAGTGAAATGACCGACTTAGCCTGTCATCCCTCAGAGTTCAATGGAGTATGCCCAGGCCAGGGAGTGGTAGTTACAGCACCAGACTCAATTGCCAATTGTCCCTTTTGCTGGTGAGATCCCCATTTTAAGTTAACTAAATGGGAGAGGATCTGCTTTCTTTCAAGGCCTTTCACCACGGCTGAAATAATTATTTTTGAAAGGGTAACCATTGAAGTTTTGTTGGCCCAAAATACACCTAATCTTTGTTCTTAAGTGGATTTACAAAATCCATCTAATCTTTGTTGCTCTGTTTTTATTTCTTTGAAAAACACATTTGTTTTTTTTCCTTGTCATATAAAAAGCCATGACTCATGAGTGACCTGAGGATAGCAAACCAACATGAGTGCCTGCTGCTCACATGCAACTCTACTAAGATGATCCAACTCTTGGCCATTTGCCCTTCAATAACTAACCAGTACATGCAGTCTAGCATCTAGCAACCCTACAATAACAACCCCCTCTCATTTTCTGGTGCCCAGGGTGCAGTCAGTATTGCACCAGAAAATGTCTTATCTTCTGAGCAAAAGCAGGGTCTTTCCCTGCCACTCCAAGAAGGCTGCATTTGGTAACCTCCTCCCCGGTGCCCACACTTTGGCCCCAAGGCTGTGAGGACATGACCCTTGTCATCTGGGGTTTATTGCTGAGGAATCCAGAGCGGGTGCCATGCCAACGGAAATTCACCCAGCAAACTATCAAGTGGATGTGGTCATTTCTGCCCGTTTGGTGTGTCTTTACAGGTGCAGCCAGCTAATTACAGAAACTAGCCCACTAAGGTGAGTATTGCGCTCTGGCCCCACTCAGCAGTGCTGCACGCCTCACTCACATGACCAAGCGTGTGACTTCTTGGGTGACACTCTGTCCACGTCAGCAACTTAGTCATCAGCAAGGGCTAGGGCATGAGAGCTACAATGCTAATGTGTTCGGCACACGCTGTGTCACTGCGACTGTGGCGCTGTATAACGTTTCCGATGCTTTATATGAATCAGCGCCTTCAGTCTAATTTCAGCTGCTCTGCCGAGCTGGCAGGCAGATTTCACTCAATAAGGAAGGCCTCTGTTCCCTGCATTCTCCTTCTCCTGTCCTCTTTGTGGCTTCAGCTAGCAAAGCAGGACAGGCTGTTGGTACATAAATGAACCCAGCCCTCGCTGAAGACCAACAATGGAAGCCCTCAGACCGTGACAGACCCTGTAAGCAACAACACAAGATTCTCTATTACCTGCAGAGATGAGAGGCATCAAATAGGCACGTTTTTGTGGTGGGCTCAGCACTGAGAATGGGAGGAGAGCTGGAAGGCAGACTGTGCACTCAGCTCCTTCTGAGCAAAGGATGAAGGAGGGTCCCTAACAGTTCCTGGACACACCGAGGAAGAATCCACCCCTTGCCCTGTGCTTCCAGCAGAGTCTTTAACCCATATGGGAGCAGAGTGAGGTTCTGGTCTCTTACCCTACAGGTCCCCCAGTCCAGCCACTCCTTGGCCTCTGTACAGTGCCTACTCTGTACCCAAATGGTTGAGTCTATGGTAGACTTAATCTTCAGAGCACTTTACAGACATGAACAAATTGCCCCTAACACCCGACTGTGAGGCATCCACAGGTATCTGCTGTCCTGTGGAAACCGAGGCATAGAAAGGGAAAGTGGCTTGCCCAGAGCCACAGAAGGAGGCAGTATCAGAGCTGGCAGTATAACACAGGAGTCTCTGCTCCCTGTCCTGTGCTCAGAGCACTTTGCACTTGTTCACCAGTAAAGGGAGACTCCACAGGACCCGAGTTAGATCCTGCTGCTTTAGCACCCACTGTACCAAAGGACCTGCCTGTCCTATGCAGCCTCAACTCATTTGAGCAGCACTGTGCTCATTCGAGCAGCTGCCATCTCCCTACTCTGCTCCTGTGCCAGGCACAGCCCCCACTCAACAAAACAGAAGCTAAACCAAAAATATCTAAAAATAACCCATCTCCGCCCAGCGTGGCCTAGTGCTTGACTCTGGCTGATGGAAATCTGAGCTCGGCACACTTCCAGCCTGGCCTGAGCGAGAGCTGGCACAGCAAGGGGTATCCCAACACATGCGTCATTGCAACCACATCAACTCAACTCCAGTCAGCCTCTGAGTGGGGAGCCCCAGGGGCCGTTCAGTGGTCCCCTAACACAGCCCGAAGCCTTCCAGGCCTAAGCCGCAGAACACGGTTATTAATAGCATCAGACAAAGACCCCCAGTGTGCGTGTGGCAGGAGTAACTGGCCAGGCAAAGCAGATCTATTCATTCACAACTGGCTTTCTCCCATTGTGCGTGAGCGTGAGTGTGACTGTGACTGCTGTCACCAGCCTCATCCCATAATTAGGGCCCTACCAAATTCACGGCTGTGAAAAATGCATCATGGACCGTGAAATCTGGTCTCCCCATGAAATCTGGTCTTTTGTGTGCTTCTACCCTATACTATACAGATTTCATGGGGGAGACCAGCATTTCTCAAACTGGGGGCCCAACCCAAAAAAGGATTGGGGGGGGGTCACACGGTTATTGTGGGGGGTCGCGGTATTGCCACCCTTCCTTCTGCGCCGCCTTCAGAGCTGGGTGGCCGGAGAGCGGTGGCTGCTGGCCAGGCGCTAAGCTCTGAAGGCGGTGCCCCCTGTAGCAACGCAGCATTACCAGACCATGCCATCCTTATGCGCTGCTGCCTTCAGAGTTGGGTCAGGACCCCCACAGTTACAACATTGTGAAATTTCAGATTTAAATATCTGAAATCATGAAATTTACAATGTTTAAAATCCTATGACCCTGAAATTGGCCAAAATGGACCGTGAATTTGGTAGGGCCCTACCCCTAATTGATGCCCTGGAGCTGGATTCACCCTCTGGTGGGCTCCTGATGTTCACTGGCTGACTGCAGAGGAGGCAGAGCTGCAGGCTGAAACAGGTTGGGGCCAGGGGACGGGGGGAGGAGATGTGAATTTCTGCTGGGGGAGTGGATGGTGCTGGCTTGATGGCGAGACTCATTCCCATGTATCAAAAGAACAGCTTACGTCCTTTGGCAGCAGCAGGGCAAGCTTCCCCCATCTACCCCACCACTGTCTGTGCGTCTCAGCCTGAACCTCGACAGGGCCCCCTCTAGTGGTGAGAGGGGAGTTCAGTCACACTGGCTTTTTGGGGTCAGATGGTGACTGAGCCTAAGGGCTGGTCTATACTTACCGGGTAGTTCGACGGCTGGGGATCGAAGTTCCGGGTTCGATTTATCGCGTCTGGTCTGGACGCGATAAATCGAACCAGGAAGTGCTCGCCGTCGACTGCGGTACTCCAGCTCAACGAGAGGAGTACCGCGGAGTCGACAGGGAGCCTGCCTGCCGCGTGTGGACCACGTCTGAACCGCAGTAAGTTCGAAGTAAGGTATGTCGAATTCAGCTACGTTATTCACGTAGCTGAATTTGCGTACCGTACTTCGACTTGGGGGGTAAGTGTAGACCAAGCCTAACAGAGATGCCAGTTCATGCCAAGTTGATGGTGGTGGTTCTGCAACACCAGTCCACACTAGGCTGAAGACCCACCAACTCCTTTCCCATAAGAAGCCAGGGGCTGGCATCTAGCCACTTTCTATCATTGTCAGACTGTGGTGGTATTGTTTGTAAAGTGCCCTCCTAAAGCTCATTCAGTGACTGGCAGGGAGGATCCCAGTTGTTCGTTTCTCCCCCGCCCCCAAGTTCAGCAGTGAAAGAGGCTGGTCTGAGCCTTCCTCCTCACTAAAGCTGACAAAGAGCATTTCCTAGGAGGCTAAAGAACTCGCCTTGAACGTGGGCTGACCCAGAAGGCTGCCTAGGAAATACCAGGGCTTCAGCACGCAGCCTCCTCCCCACTAGGCATAAGGGCTAGATGAGGGCACATCATGCCCAAGCTTTATGATGGCTTCTAAGTCAATTTTGTGTTGGCTCCTGACCCTTCTCTCTGAAGCCCTGATGGGGCTGTACCTTGACTCAGAGACCACCTCTCCCTACATATCCAACCGTGACAGCATTGGTCTCTGGGGATGATATGTGGCTGACCACGTGCAAGTCTCACCTCATGGGAGCTTGGCGTTTTTGGTACAGGCCCCTATCTGTGAAACACTGCATCACCAATAATCAAGCTAAGCATGAGTCTTGCAACCTTCACAGACTCATCTCTTTCAGAAGACCTCAGCCCGCCAAATAAGCTGCGGAAGGGCCCGAGCAACACTACTGCTGCAATTAACTATGCCAACTGAACGGCTCAGGAGCCAGTTGGTGCAATCTGTGGCGAGGGGACAGGAATTTGAATACCCTCCTTGAAGGCCCTGTTGTTGTTCTAAATGTACATACTGGTGCCTACATATTACAGTGATAGGTGTCTTAGAACTGTGCAAATAACCAGAGAAAAGCTAGAAAA